CAGAATTTGGATTTCAATTCAGGTTCAGATTACAAAACCCCTCAAATTTGGGGTGGTAATGACTAAAGCTGGAGCAACAGCTGTAGTTAACGTTACCTGGGCATTTCTAAGGCACATTTTCTTCATTAGATCTGTTTGCTCAAATGTTCCTGAACCTTTGTTGTACTGGAAACCTTATCTAGTTGGCCACAGCCCTTCAGCTGGCCACCTGAACATTCTATCTCCAGTGAGAGAAACCGGTGCTAGCTACAAGTATTCCTAAGCAAGTAGTAAGGAGAGCCATTTACCCATAAATTCTAACTTCTGGCGAATAGAAAGCTTCCCTCTTCCTCCTCATCCTGCAAATTCTTAATCACATGAGGGATATCAAGGAGGTTGCTGGTTTGGATGGACCCAGTCCATTTGAGATGGGCTGGGAGGGTTGTACTCCCCACCTCCCTTCAGGGACATGGAATGCTGTGTACTGCCTCAAACTCAGGGATAGTCATGGGTGCTATTCTGTATTCCTGTCCTCTGTTCTCTTTATGTGGTCTTTGAATAGGTACATATATGCATATCAATCAGGAACACTTTTCAAAACTATGTTCATGTAAAATTTAAGATTTCATTTAAAAAAACCGGAATATCTAGCCTTTCTGGTTGGGAAGATAACCTTTCAAATAAGACTGTGCAAGGCTGTCTTTCTGAATCTGCAGAGATGTAAAATGAAACAAAAGCTTTGCCTGGCATGAATTGCCCCCATTCTTCTGAATGGAATGTTAACTCTGAACCCAAATAATAACAATTTATGGCAAATTTTTCAAAGGAGACTTGTGGTGTACCTGTGAAAGTGTGCACGCATATGCAGATTTACACTTATTTATGCACATACCAACACTGTACATAAAACTCTTGTAACTGAACGCACAAATGGTCATTTGGATGTCTATCCATTTGTGCATGCGATTGTGGTTAATGTGCATGCAGATATAGATTAGCAATTGTGCCCCCTATTTTGCACAGAGTATTGATAATTTGACCTTAAATGTCAAATTTCTAAACTATTTCTTGGTAGAGCTGTTTAATAGAAACATCCTGCAGTTCTGGGGGAGACTGTAGTAGAGCATCACTACCATTTTTTGTCTCACTTTGACCCCAGATAAATAAGAATGAACACCGTTAAGCACATAAGAATGGCCATACTGGGTCAGACCAAAGGTCCATCCAGCTCAGTATCCTGTCTGCCGTCAGTGGCCAATGCCAGGTGCCCCAGAGGGAGTGGACCTAACAGGTAATGATCAAGTGATCTCTCTCCTGCCATCCATCTCCACCCTCTGACAAACAGAAGCTAGGGATACCATTCATTACCCCTCCTGGCTAATAGCCATTAATGGACTTAACCTCCATGAATTTATCTAGTTCTCTTTTAAACCCTGTTATAGTCCTAGCCTTCACAACCTCCTCTGGTTGACTGTGCGCTGTGTGAAGAAGAACTTCCTTTTATTTGTTTTAAACCTGCTGCCCATTAATTTCATTTGGTGGCCCCTAGTTCTTATATTATGGGAACAAGTAAACAACTTTTCCTTATTCACTTTCTTCACACCACTCATGATTTTATATACCTCTATCATATCCCCCCTTAGTCTCCTCTTTTCCAAGCTGAAAAGTCCTAGCCTCTTTAATCTCTCCTCATATGGGACCCGTTCAACCCCTAATCATTTTAGTTGCCCTTCTCTGAACCTTTTCTAATGCCAGTATATCTTTTTTGAGATGAGGAGACCACATCTGTACGCAGTATTCAAGATGTGGGTGTACCATGGATTTATATAAGGGCAATAAGATATTCTTCATCTTATTCTCTATCCCTTTGTGAATGATTCCTAACATCCTGTTTGCTTTTTTGACTGCCACTGGACACTGCGTGGACATCTTCAGAGAACTATCCACGATGACTCCAAGATCTCTTTCCTGATTAGTTGTAGCTAAATTAGCCCCCATCATATTGTATGTATAGTTGGGGTTATTTTTTCCAATGTGCAGTACTTTACATTTATCCACATTAAATTTCATTTGCCATTTTGTTGCCCGATCACTTAGTTTTGTGAGATCTTTTTGAAGTTCTTCACAGTCTGCTTTGGTCTTAACTATCTTGAGCAGTTCTCAGACTATAGTAGTACACAAGAACAAAAAGCATGGTAAGGACAAATATGGTGGCACCTTTTTTTTTTTATTTCTATGGCTTCTCTCCCTCCCCACATTCAAATGAGAAGTGCTGGAACATCCAAGTGAAGGATTGGGGGCGGACAGGGAAGTACAGGAAAGGGAATTCTGATATTGTCAGGATGAATCACAGACATGATCTCTGACACACTTCTTTCTCCAGCAGCTTGTTACAGTAAGAACAATAATTAACGTGCAGGAGGGGAAAGTGCTTGCATTGCGGTTTTCCTGCATGGAGCAGGTCACAAAGGTTACATTGCATCCTGAGATGGCTTTGCTGGCTTCACACGGCTCAAGCAAAACACTGACGCTGGTGACTGACCCGACGTTCTTTGGCTGTACATGCTGTATTTGTTTGTCCGCCTTTATTTCGTACCTTACTAATGAGAGTAAATTGCAGGGCCAACAAACATTACATATCAGAGGGGTAGCCGTGTTAGTCTGGATCTGTAAAAAGCGACAGAGTCCTGTGGCACCTTATAGACTAACAGACGTATTGGAGCATAAGCTTTCATGGGTGAATACATATAAATTCTGAAAACCATAAGATTGAATCTAGTTTTGGAGTGGAGAAAATGTGAATCATAATGGTTAGGTTTAAAGACCAGATATCAGGAGGATGCTTTTTTGCTGCCTTTATCAGAATAATATGAGACTGGGTCACAAGAAATCTGAATATGATCTGTGTCCTGACCTATAAGACAAACAGAGCATAGCTACTGTATAGATCTCTTTGGCTTCTACTGTGCCATGCAACACTGTGACCCTAAGAGCACTCCAGTGTCAGATGGCAAGGGACTCCCTGGTACAGAGCAGTGAGTTTCAGATGGTCTGACCAGCCCAGTGTACCCCAACTCACTTTGTCATAATCTGTATCTAAAATGGGTCATGTAAGGTATCATACGCAAACCGGTGCCACATGGGTGATTAATTTCATTGTGAAATGTATGTATTAACGCTATAAGAAGAATTATGGATACTCACTAATATTATGCTTTTAAGTCTGTGACCAAACAAAGATGGAAACACGTTTCCCCCCAAAGAGGAGGGAAGGCAGCTATCTATCTGTCTCAAATGAAATTAAGGAAGGTGCGACCAGAAAAAATGGAAGCCCCATTTACATATACAAATCAGCAGGGGGGTGGGAAGTCCACAGGAAGGTAAGAATAGTATGAGGTCATCCTGAGTCTGGGGACAATACAGTGAGTTTGGGAAAATTTAAGGAGAAAAGAAGAAACCATCTTGACATCCATCACAAAAGATCTTTCACCTAGGAAGACCAGGGAAACCAGCACCTTGTACTTATGAAGGTCCTGACTCAGAGAAAGTCAGCCACGACTGGAGGTAAAAAGATTAGTAAGAAATCTATCTTGAACCAAGGCTGTAGTTTGTTGAGTTTTAGCCACTAGAAAACATATTTTATTTTTTATTTGCTTGTAACCATTTTGTCTTCATTCTTTGCACTTGAGCAGAGAGAGATGTGGTGTTTTATAAGACGCATGGCTTCAGGACTTTAATCCCTAAGAAGAATGACCCTAAAACATGCTGCTAGAAGGGCCTTATAGTTGTTGCTAAAAGGAATTTATACATTTTAAAAAAAACCCAAAGTAGTCAGACCCGGTATAATAGACACATGGGTATGACATCGCTGCATTTAAAGCACATGCTTTGGATCAGCAGCCTAGTTAAATGGAGCCCTTTGAGTTGTGAGGTTGGGAACACTGCTCTGAAAACCAAAGGCTGGTAACTTGATTTCCAGTTTCTTTCCTATCTTGGGATGAAAAAAAGCAGTGAGCATTCAAGTGTTTACCAACAACTGTCAATGTCAACTTCTTCTGCAGTGTTCATGCAGGAATCATTGGTTCAGGGTTTGGGCTGATTACCCTCCAGGCAGTGCTTGGCACATTTCAGAGAGGTGATAGAGATCTCTTTTTTCAGTGTATGTTGTAAGTCAGTGATCCTCAACCTGCGGTACAAAAAGCCAATGATACATCAAGCTTTGGTGACTGGTACATCAGGCTACAACTCTCTACCTTAATGATAAGCCTGTCTCTTGGGTATCAGAGCTCTGGCACAGCCCATCTCCTCTTCAGTGGTGTGTGGTCAAACCTGTAGTGGAGCTAAGGCAGCTCTAAGACTGGGCTTTGGAGCATCCTAGACTTGATTGCAGATTAGAGCTCACACAGTCGAATACTAGGCTAAATTCAACTGCTCCGAGACTTGCAGTGGCATCAAGCATCTGCAGTCTCCCTGCTGTCAGGGGACATACAGCACAGCAGCACAGCCTTAAAGGTGAGTGGCATTGGGATGGAATAGAGTGGCCAGGATGTGCATCTGTGGAGTGGAGATTAAAGCAGTTCTTACTCAGAAAACCCTCTGGGAAGGCCAGGCACTGGTAGTGCCATCAACCTTCACTCAGCTGAATCCCTCTGGGTACAACTGGCTGCACCAGCAAGAGAGGTTGTGATATTTGACCAGGGTTAATAAACACTTGTGAGAAGTAGAGAAATGGGGGGAGAGTGTGCAGTTTCCATGAACTGCACACTTCCATGAAGTTCTTGCAAGACCCATGAATCCTTTTAAAATGCCAGCACGATCTGTACTTGTTTTTCATAAGAATCTCAGTTACCCTAGAACTGAAGAGAGGTAATCAATAGCCATTTTATAGTCCCTCTGCAGTATACTGTACCTTTTACTTTAACTCATGGTAGTAGCTTCAGAAAAGTAAATCCACAAAGATTAATCCACAAACTTGAGTTGTAATCAATACATTTTAGGGATTTCTTGTTGTTGTTCTGCAGGTCCTGGTTGCTAAATCTCCCGTTGCTCCATTCTCAGCTTTTTTCTACACCATTGAAAATTCTGGTCTGGTTCTTCAAGGTAAGATCACAAAGGAGATTTTGTTTTACCAATGAGTGTTTTAAGTAGGCTGAAGGCAGAAAATACTGTGATTGTTTAAAATGGTGCCTTGATAACTAATTAAAAGAGTGTATTGGAGCAAGCTGGCTGACAAACACAATCACGCTGCTCCTTTCGTTATACTGTCTTGAATTATACTGTATTGTGTTGCTGCGTATTTCGATATATCTGAGAGCAAATGAGCCATGAAGTAATTAATCAAGTCTCCCAGTTTTCATTCAAGGTAAAACCAAATTATTCTGGTAGCATCTCTCCAGTAGGTAAGCTTCTCTTGGAGAAACATACATGTCTTGAAATATGATAAAAATATGCAATATTATATTGTCCCCCTCTTAGCCATTAGACTGAGACCAATAAAACACAGGAAATCATTATCACTCCCCTTTCTTATACATGTCTTGTTGTGATCACCTTAAGGTGAAGGCCATCTGGCCATAAATACACCTATGATTCTGTATATGTATTGGTCTACTCATTTGTTGATATGTAAACCCCAGCTCACCATACTGAGTCCACCTTTTGCTGAACTGATCTTGGTTGGTTTCCACCCATTTTCCTAATGGATCCAATTTACCAGACTAAGTTCTTAAGGTAGACCTATCAGTGCCTGCCCCTCCCATTCAGATGTATGCGATCTGACCTGCTATGGAGTTAATATTGTTTAAAAACCTCAGTCTCACAATTCCTCAGTCTTCAGAGGCTCAGAAATCACTGGCCTATCCAGGACCGGTGCAAGGATATTTTGCGCCCTAGGCGAAACTTCCACCTTGCGCCCCCCCCTCCGATGTCAAGCCCCCACCTTCCTATGGCCAAGTTCCCCCCAGGGGCCCAGATGTTCACAAAGTACAGGGGGCATGGGGGGGGGGCTACAAAGAGGGGGGTCGTATGGGGGCTCTTCCAGGGGGTGAAGGTGGCAGAGAGGGGGGTGCATGGGATTGTTGCAGGAGGTGGAGGTGGCCAAGAGGTGGAGGGGGCGGGGGTGTAGTGTCAGGGAAGAGATTGCACAGAGGCAAAAGGGGCTCGTTGCAGGGGGTGCAGTGGCACGGAGGGGATTGCACAAGGGAGGAGTGGGCAGGAGGGGGTTGTTGCAAGGGGCTGGCAGGCGGAGGCGGGGGCTGTGCCCGGGGTTGTTGCAGGGGGTGCAGTGGCAGGGCGGGGTTTGCACAAGGGAGAAGTTGGCACGAGGGGGTTGTTGCAAGGGGCTGGCAGGCGGGGGGGGGTGTCTGTGCCCGGGGTTGTTGCAGGGGGGTGAAGGTAGCATGGAGGGGTTTGCACAAGGAGGAGTGGGCAGAAGGAAGATGGCAGGTGGAGAGGGGGGGTCCCGAGGTTGATGCAGGGGTGAAGGTGACCGTGGTGGCTGGGGGGGGGAGATTGCTGGGTGAAGGTTGTCCAGAGGCAAAAGTGGCAGGACATGGAGGGTTGTTGGGGCAGGGGGTAAACAGGGGAGAAAGTAGCTGGTCGGTGGGTGTTGGAGGGGGTGGGTCTGGCTGGGGGAGGGGTGCCTGGGTTGCTCCCACATACACCATTCCCCAGGCCAGGGACTGGACCTGCCCACCCCCCGGCACTCTGCGGGCCCGTGCGGCTCCCCGCGGCCCGGCTAGGTACCTTGCAGGCGGAGTAGACACCTAGCTTCTCCGCTCGAAGAGCAGAGTGCAGCTGCGCCTTCTTCCCCGCGCTGCAGGCCAAGCCGGGCTCTCCGCCGCCCCCGGGGTTCTCAGCGGTGGCATAGGCAGCCAGCCCCCCCGCGCCCGAGCCTGCTGCTGCCGCCGCCACTGAGAGCCCCGGGGGCGGCGGGGAGCCCGACTCGGCGCGGGGAAGAAGTCGCAGCTGCTAGCGCTACACCCTCCCCTTCCCCGCTCCGCCGCCGGCTGCTCTCCCTGGGGGAGGGACTAGCTGCGCCACTGGTGGCCCCTCGGGAGGTGGGGAGCAGCGGCAGCCTTGTGCTCCGCTGTTTAAAATTTTTTTGGAGTGCGCCACTTTTTGGCGCCCTAGGCAGCCACCTAGTCTCCCTAGTGGTTGCACCGGCCCTGGGCCTATCTGATCCTATGAAACACTGTAAGCCTTGTATTTAACTACATACCAAAAAGCCATACTGCCAGACTCAATGGCTTGGATAGGCTTGGATCTGTGGCAAATTAGATTGTAAACTCTTTGGAGCGTGGGCTGTCTTTTTGTTCGGTGTTTTTACAGATCCTAGCACTGTGTTGTCCTGGTCCATGACTGGGCCTTGTAGGTTCTGCTTACAGTAATACCACTAATAATAACAATATACAATGGTCAGAGAAAAAGGATACTCGGATGATTTTCAGTGCAATGGATCCATTTTTGTTTGACTCAGTTGTGTGCTTGTTTGTGGGGTCCACTAGTTGCTCTCTAAATAGTTGGACACTATATCCAATGCATTCTTACTTATGCTGGAAGCTTAATCTGCCTCATTTGGTATCAGTAACCTAAACAGGCTACAGAAGTCAGGGACAATTTTCTTTACTTTAAGTGGAGTAGACTGGTAGGGGTGGGTATGGATATTTTTAGACTCAACCCAGAGCAAAAGAAAGGGCTGTTTCATGACTGTCCCAAACATCTTCATAGTTCTGGAGGATAATTCTAACCATAATTAGCAAAGTGGACCCATCTCCTGATGTATCTATCCCCAGACACTAACACTGAAAATCCTTCCTTCCCAAAGGTCTCTTCTGTCAGAACATGGAAGTGTTTGTCTGGTGAATATTTTTGTTTGTTTGAGTCCACTTTCTTCAACCAGGAGAACAGATTCCCCATTGATTGGATCCTGCCCTTTCAGAGAAACAGATTGGCCTGGTCATTTACCATGATCATGGAGTAGGAGCCTCTTATAGCTGGCTTTTAGACTGCACGGTTGCAGGGATATGGTAGTTGCTTTTTGCACTTTATCCTCTGTCTTCAGGGGTAAAATGTTACGTCACTTTTTTTTTTTTTGAAAGGAGGATAAAAGATATACCCAGATTAATCTAAATAAATGCTTTGTCATACATTCTTTACACATCTAGAAAGCAGTTTGAAACTCTTATTTGTTTTAGCCACGTATTAGATTTTGACCAGGCAGTTATAATTTCAAATCCTTTTTCGTTTGTTTGTTAGCTATTTTCCCTTTCTTATTGCTGTGGAAAGTTGACTTTAATTAAAGACAGAGAGGAAACCAAGGTCCTGTTTTCTCTAGTAATTTTCCACAGGCTATTCCATTTAGTAGCTAACCTCCTAACCAGAGACCAGACTGCAGTGTCTGAACCTTAGATGTCACAGGACTCAATCTGAGTCTGTGCTTTTACATAACCCACCTCTGTTCTTCTCGGTTCTGTTTAATGAGTTCAGTGTTTTTGAGAAATGGTGTCTAAGCACTAAGGCCCTGTTTATGGATTCCTTACTTACACTTGTGAGCACTTTCTCAGATGAGTAGAGTCTCATTTAGTTGAATGGGGTTACTCCTGTGAGTGAGTGTTCTACATTCAGCCCCAAAATGACTGTTGTTATTGTTGTTTCATTTATTCTGTTCTGAGCACCAAAAATGGGCTTGGTACTGCTCAAAACACAGAGGAAGGAGTGTAACAAAACATTTGGAAATGACTGAGTGTCAGATAGGAGGATACCTAACCTGCTAGCCAAGAGGTAACTGGGTATCTAGTACAAGGGGAGACCAGGCTTCTGCCTGAAAAGTGCCTGGGAACTATGGGAGAGGTAGAACCTCTGCTTCTTTCTGAAGAGAGGCTAGATGCTGAGTAATGGGTGACAATTAGGCAGCTAGCTAAGGCATGTCTGGCGAGAGTTGGTACCTGTGCTGCTGGCTGAAAGGCAACTTACTACTAACAAATGGAATCTATCCCATAGGCTGATAGCAGAGGCAGCTTTTCCATTCAGTCTTTGTTGTGCATAGCAGTCGGTGTCAGGAGGGGGAGCACATTCAGGGCGTCTGACAAGAGAACAAGGGGATGAGTGTGGGAACTGGTGAGAAACAGCAGCTGTCTGAAATGAAATGCCCAGGATTCTTTCCTCTAACTGTGGGGGTCCCATCATTAGTCTATTACCCATGAGGCCATAAACAAATTGACATTGAAAATGTACCTGGAAATTCCTTGATTATAAAGGAGGAGAGGGGAATAAAAGACAAAGTGAAAGTTTGATTTAACAGCTCCACAAGCAATTCCCATTGCCACCTTTGAGGGATTAGGATATGTGAAATGGGCTAAAATCAGGAGGAGCTTCCCCCCCCCTTTTGTTCCATGGACCAGAGGATAATAAATAGCAGGAGAGGCGGTGCGGCTAGTTAGGGATTTCACAGGCTGCTATTTGATGCAGTTTAAGGATCTCTTTTGCTATTGTTGCAATTAAAATGGAAAGCGGAACTGTTCTCCATTTGTAAAAGTCTCCAGCGTCCTTAGGAAAAGAGGGCTGAGAGCAAATGGCTATTAACATGGTAATGCTGCCCATTCGGAGGAGTGCATCAAAATCCTCTTTGTTGATGTAAATTGCTGCTCTGTTTGCCTGGTGTCTTTGGATCTCATGGCCTCAGTATAAGCACAGAAAATTGTTCAGAGAGACTCTAATGAAGGAAAAACCACACCTCTTATATCATTTGAGAAGAGTTCCAAGCTGCCCAAGGTCACTGCAGAGAGAAACTTCTCTGCCTTTGTAAACTTGAAGCGTTCAGGGTTGAAAAGAATCCAGTTATTCACTCCTTTTATTCCTGTTTTCAATCTAAAGAAATGCAACTTGACAATTGGAAAACAAGGATGACTAGTCAGAGGTTTAACCAAGGAAGCCAGCCTTCAGCCATCCTCATCCCCAACTTAAATATGGTGTGTAGGTGTGGATGTGTGTGTGCATTGGGGATGAGTGGGGGGACTCAGAAAACCCCATTTGTTTTACGATATAATATAATGTAGATTCCTCATGAGTCTGAACTGTGACTCCAAAATCCAGTCCTGGCT